GCCCTACCACACGCAACGAAGCTGTGGGCGAGAGTGGGAAGCAGGGCCTGATCAGCCCTGCGTACCTGCCGTTTTATCAAGCTGTGACTCCACTCTTCCTTTGGTTTGCTGTCATGGTGGTTCCATGATACTTCCCCTAAACCCTCCCTTTGCCGCGTTGTCTTGCAGCTGAGCCGCGCCGACCGATCGTTCTGCAGACTTGACCAACCACTTGTTGAAACACCTACAATTGTCTCGGACTTTCCGCCATGCTGTTCCACCGCCTTTCTTCCCAACGTGGTAACTGAGTTCACTGAATACAAGTGTCAGAGTGTGTTTGTGTAACAGCTGCCGGCTGCGGAGTGTAAGCTATGTATAAGAGCTGTGGCGTGTAAATGTCTTGGCAGGTGCTGGTGGATGCGGGTTGTGGGAGGGGCCACGCGGGGTGACAACTAGTGAAGGGAGTCATAGAATTTATACTTCAATGATTTAGTTCCAACCAGGTTGTTCAGCTACCCCTTAGCTTCGAAAAGCAAACTGAAGCTAGCCCTGGTGAGCAGGCTGGATACAACTTTGCACTTTCAAGATCACTGATGCATTTGACATGATCGAAACTATTGAGGCAGGTCACCCATGGCAAGGTGTTGAAGGTGCAGCATTCTGAGTCGCATTGGCGCAGCAACAGCCAACGTCTTTGCACGTATGACATATGATCCGGGGAGGGCATAAAATGGAAAGCATCACATCCTTCCCGATATGCAAACACTCAGGTGGCAGCAACTTGAGTGTGCAGGCGGTGGACAAAAGTGATGAAACCAAAGGAGAATGAGGATGAAGGTCCAGGTAGCATTGCGTAACTCCTGAGCTACCCTTACCAATACAAACAGCACCATATTCAGGGGAGAGGGTTGCATCGGTCGCTGGGTTTGGGGCCACAAGAAAGGGTTCTGTTCAATTCAATAAGGGGGCCCATTCGCAGGTCGATCCATCATCATCCTGATTCATCATTATTCTTTTTCATCCAGGTTCTATTTTCTCTCGTGGTGTTCAATTCTATTCAATTCTGCTCCCTTAATCCCTCTATCAGATTCTGTATCAACTCGTTCGGGTCGTGACAATCTGCGCATGGCATGGCATAGAATCTGTCTATGGCATGAGAAACTCACTAAAGCTGATGAGGCGTATGTGCAAATGCAACTTGCTCGGTCCTCATCCGTCTCCACTGGCGCAAGAGCACCAATGCTCTCTTCCATTCAACCCCTTGTTCACATGCACTGAGCACCTTAGTCCACCATGTAAGGCACCTGTAAACATATACAAGACGTCGCCCCATATCACGGAGCATGAGGCCTTTCTGCAGCAAAGGCTCCGCATTTTGGCTCACAACACCTGATGAATCACAACAAGATTCAACGCTTCCGCACCCATCACTAATACCCCGAGAGCATAAGGCACGCGATGTCGGGCGTACAAATGCTTTGAAATCTTTGCAAGGCTTTGCCGGCCTTGAATCCACGTCTTGGGATTGGGTGCGGTGCAAATCTAGCTAGACTAAGGTCTTCTCTCCAGGCGACTGGGGCGGCAAAAATGTGATATTGATTCAAATAGGGCCAGCGCATCCCACCAATGACCACAGCGCTCTGAGCTGCTTATGGCCTCAGAATGGTTTTTTCAACAAGCACGCTCTGCTTTTCCTCTTCGGCAAACATTCACACAAATCAAGTTTGGCTTGCACGCCATGCTGCAGAATTAAGTCCAAGCAAATCAACCTGCATACCTTTGATGCCGGAGCTGATGTAGTCCAGGCCCAGCTGCCAATGACCAGAACTGATGATACAGTTGCGAGTCAGCTGGTCCTCATATCAGGTACACAAAGTGACCCTTCCAAGGTGTGGTTTGCATTGCATGACATGTGGAGCACTGCTAAAATGGCGAGGGCAGGTCGTCAAAATATGGGCTGACTTGCTGAAAAGGGCTCAAGTTGACATGGGCTGTCAATGCTGACCCAGGAGGACCGTGATTCAATCCAGCCAAGATTCCGCTAGAACCTGCATGTAAGACATACGGTCCACCAGGGCCAATGAAAGGCCCCAGTTGCTCTCTTCAAGGCCCTTGGGGCAAAGTTGCTATAAGCTTTGGACACGCAACCGCAAGTCTTCGATGTGTCGTCTCTGCCGTTGCAACCGGCACGATTACTGCACACCTCCTCTCAACCAAGCTTTCACCATCCGAAGTTTGAGAAGCTCAGAGCGGATGGCAAAGGGATGCCAATTCAATCCAGGCCGCGTTAATGTGAGTGTTGAAGGTCACCACATTTGGCTGCAATTTTTCTGCTGTCACCTGCAAGGGTCAACTCTGTGGTTCTGCGCCTGTATACTGCATGCAGGCTAGACGGAGGGGGTTTGCCCAGGAATATGGAGTTGGGTCATGCTGGAATGATGGCGTGGATGTAATGTGGAAAACATTGTCATCGATGTATATATGGATGTTGTCAACGTTGTATGGATGGATGGACCATTCCTGGATGTCGAAGGCTTAAGTGGCTGCTCGCTCAAGAAAAAATATGTGCGGCGACATCTATCGAAATTCAAGGACCATAGTTTGGGTAGTATAAAACAATACAAAACTACTGTAAGAGTTGCCTGATTAAGTTGCAGACTTTGCTGCGCCTGCCAGTCGCAAGTAAACAAACTCTGACTTTTTTCGTCACCAACTTGCCTTCCAGCCTTCCAAACAACCAAACAACATGTTTAAACACAAAATACAATAATGCACCGCAAAGCAAAAACAATGTCTCCACGACACAAGACACGGCAAGAAAATGATCTCGGGCTAACCCCCTGTCTACCCTACATGCAGCAAAGCCTTAAAAAACAAATAAACCAAAGCAAGATTATGGGAAGGAAGGGAACATGACTTGACATGCACTGGCGCCTCAAGTATCAGGCAACACTCAACGTAAATTTTAAATCCCACCCGACTCAAAAGACTCAAAAAATATGTCAAGCCCACGCCCGGAAGCAACGTCAGGCAACTGTGGTCTCCTATATAGTGCCTGTAGGAGTGTACTCGCCCGAGGCCATAGACCGCCCACCCTTCCACAGGCATTGACTGCAGTGTTGAAGCCTAAGTGTTTCATAAAAGGAGCGTTGTGAAGAAACGCGAGAGCAAAACCGAGCGTGCAAGAGAGTTTGTAATGGCATGCGGCAACAGCCTATTGGGATGATCAAAACTACAGTATCTGCCCCATAAACCCACAGCAACGGTCCAGTCTTCTTCATGTCTATCAAATCATGAATCATCCACGGTCAATCGTCAGGAACATACTGGTTCCCCCTAAACCTGCAACGCTTGATACTTATTATAATGAGTGTCCCAATGAACTTCAACACGCGAAGTGGCCGGGGTCAGTGATATATCACAACAGTCCCCGAACCTAATTACAGTATCGATTTTAACACTATAACTTGATAAAGAAGAACAGGAGCAACCCCCGTGTAGAGCTCACTTTCATGATAAAAGGTGGGCACAGGGAGGTAGGTAGGCATTGGATCCAAGTGCTTGCCTCACAGGCTGACAACGGCAACACAAACCAAACATATCCAAAAGTATCCTAGGATATCCTAGGGTACTACCTACAAGGGTGTCATAAAACTGTGTCTTGCAAGAGAATGCATGATTCCTCCTTTTGTGACAGGGAGGGCCTGTGTGGCCAGCTTCAATCATGGCTTGTATTTTAAAGGTTTGATGCGGTTCTGCAGGAAGCTCTCACACTCGTTTGTAAATCTCTGGTCCGGCAGCTAGGTTGCTCACAACTGTCAACTGGAGGAACTGCATCGCCATCTCCCGGAGCAGCAAGAGAACCTATCTGACCATGTCTGACCGAACATGAATGCTTGAAAGCTTGTCCAAAAACTAATGGTTTCCTTTCATGTGTCTCCACTTCTCTCTCTGTGCTTGTCTCTCAACAATGATATGGCCGTCAACGCTTGGTCGAAAAGTACGCGCCGATAATTCATTAGTCAAAACCAAGCAATTTGCAGGAGACAGCAATGATTGCCACCGACATGACATGTTATAGATTCTATAAAGGGTGCCTTCCTCGGATTCCCAGGCAACAATTTTGGCGCTGACCTGGTGCCATTGCGAATCAGCAGCACAAGCAGCAGCCCCCATGTTCACCAATTTGTGGCTTCTCCGTATGCCAGCCAATGACGCACTTCGCAACATGTGACACCTCCGCCGGAATATGCAACATCTTCCATCACTCCACTAAAAATAACCATCGATGCAGGTTGTCAACAAACACATTTGTCGCGTCCTCTTGTAACCATGCATCAACAAACTGCTTTAAAGGACGTTGCTATATGTACAATTGCTCGTAGGCTAAGTCAACTCAAGCAACTCCTGGCAAGGGGCACTTTGTGCCAGCTGCCTCTGCAGCAAACATAGCTAGCGGAGTCCGGCTCCAAAGCAACTTGAAACCTCGGAGATATGCCATGCCGCACTGGCTGCAGTTGCCGTTGATTTGTTTGCCGTTTGTAAGGGCAGCCTGATTTCATGAAGCCGACTTCTGCACCTGAATAATGTTCTTCGTTTCCGCCAACGCATTGACAATCTGGCCACCCTCGTACACAACAAGTGCAGGCCCAGGTCAAAGGTCAACGGCTTTGCAAGCAAACTGGCTACCGCACACCTCACTTCTATGTCTCATGTTTGTGCAAGGTACTGCACACACAACACACACGTCACACACACACACATATATATATATATAAGTTTATGTAATATATTGTGTATTGCTTTTTGGGGGGCGCTGCGCCCGACTCCGCGCGATTCTGTTTGGAAGTGCAGTAGTACGCTGCCAGAAAGCATCTCTGAAAGCTGCTGCAATGCTGCCAGCCACTGGTCGGTCTTTGCAAGGGCACTCATGACAGAGTTAAGGCAAATCCTTGATACTGAGCATGTGCGTGTTTTGCCTGCATGTGTGTCCGCCTGGCAGCATGAATGCAACAAAAAAATCACCGTCCACGGGTTTGTACTCCAACAATTGCACTTTCAGGCATCAAATTGGCCAGCACTTCCTGCATCATCATGGTGCAAAGCATTCTCGAAGCGAGACGCCATTGTTGACCTGCAACGTTAAAGCTAAAGGCAACCGGGACATATTATATACATGGTGGATGCAGCAAAGGATGGGTGGGTCTTTGATAGCCAAGCGGGACGCCTTGCTGCAAAGATGCTGCCGCAGAAGATAACAACACAGCATTGGGCTCCAGAGCTGCTGGCTTGATTTGCTGCAGCAAGTCCATGCTCAGGTGCCATAACATGTCTTTCCCAACAGCAGAAGCGAGAGCCCCATAACCTGACACCAGCAGCATACATCAGCAAATCGTGGTTAATCACTGTCTTAACAAAAATTGTCCATTCGCTGCCGCCCCAGTTCCCTCCCTCGTCCCTCAACCAAACGCCATTTTTGAACATGATATACGAGGGGAACCTCCAGCAAAGCCGGTGGGCGGAAGTTCAACATTCATCAACTCCAGTAATGATCAGTATTGAATGGTGCTGAGGAAAAACAGTTATATGTATACTGTATACCATGTTATGTTGTCATGTTGATCACTGTGGTGAATTTGTTTGTCGTGACACCCCTGCAAAAGTCCCGCACACGTCGCCTGACAAAAACTACCGTTTTGCAGCCTGACTGCTCTCTTACATACACGCCCACCATCAAGCATGAAACCTTGCTGGGAACTTGCTCCAATGTTGCAGGAGCCTTTTTGGGCCACCAGTTTGTAATTACTAAACTCAAGGCTCGGGCTGCCACAACCAATCTGTTACTTTGCTTCATGTTTTGGTGGCTTTGTTATGCCCCGCTTTAAGGGTGTGTTTTTCTTTGGGCACTTTGATGTAGCCAAAACAGTTCATCAAAACAGCACAGTGTCAATCTAATCTGTGCCGTTGGGGTGCAAAACTGGGTGAAACAACTGAAAGCACCTCCTTGCATTTTGGGTGATTCAGTGGCAAACACCCTCGAAGTAACGATTCCTGTGACTTCCGGAAAGGCTCCAATGCGAGTCGAGAAAGTTGTGAGTTTCAACTTTAGGTGCCAGAAGTGTCTCAAAGGTTTTGTAGGGTTCTGGCTTCAGCCAGTCTTTCTAAGCAGGCAAGATACCACAAAGGGTCTCGTCAAGCAGTCGTAGCAGCCCAATTTGAAACCAGTTCAATGTGGGCCGTCGAAGGTGTCCCAACAAGGTTCCAAACGGGACTCAACAAAGTTTTGTCAAGGCTCTTCAGGTGGCTTCAAGGCTCCAGTTTCAACAGGTTCAAGAGGGCTACGGCTACGGTGTCGGATATTGAATCAACGGGACCAGCTGGGTTGCTGGAAGATTCCAGTGTTGCATGAAGAAGCTTTGCCGGAATGGTGTATTCAGTCTGGAGGAGGCTCTATGAAACTTTATGCCAATGCAGTTCCACAAAAATTGCAATGCAAAACATCAGAAACCGGTGCAGGACAAGAGCCGCCAAATGCTTTAAGCAACGCTCGAGCAAAGAGTGGGAAAAAACAACAACAATCTGATTCCCAACATGCTCCACACATCCAACAAAGGTCCCAGCAAGGGTTCGCTGGAAACTCCGGAAGCAAACCTGTAAACCTGCATCTTCAACCCACTTGCACAGCCGCGTCATGGCTTGCACTTGTCAGCCGGCTCTTGTGATCATCTGCCAGGGAGCTGACAATGGTTGGTCGAATGTCACTTTTGCACATCTGCCTGAAGATCTTCCTGGCAAGCAGGCCATCACCTGAACAGTAGGATCAGTCGGTTCAAAACAGGAGAGCCTCGCAGCATGCTGCGGTTCAAGTATGCTGATGCACAGCCTTCCATTGCCCACCCGGATATGACAGTGTTGTAGTGAAACACGTTCACCTGCGCAAGTCTGGCACTGGAAGGACATGTTCAAACTCACATGGTGGCAAGCCTGATTGGAGGGACAAACTAACGTCAAACATCAAACATCTGGTACACATCTCTTACGTGTCTTAACCCTAATCGACCTCCATTCGGGACTCCATGAGGGCTCCAAGCGCTTGGAGGGCAGCACCGGCACCTCATGAAATTCTTGCACACAAAACTCAACTCACTGAATTGATCATGGGGCATTCCGACAAATTCATACTAATTCATACAGCTTGACTTAACATTTCCGCGCATACTATGCATCATGCAATTTCTCTGATAGTCTGAACGTAGTAGGCCTTCTTGCCCCACACACTAAGCCAATAAAGGGCTGTAAAAAAACAGGCTCTTAAGTGATGCACCAATCTGAAGCCTTGGCCCTCGGCCTTCAACGTTTTTGCAGCCCGAGTCCAATGGTCCAAACTCTCGCATGCCCAGCACCTTGTTCCCTCTGCACAGTGCGCAAGGTTGCCGTAGCACATCGTGAGCTTTGCGTCATGGGATCTGCAAAGTCCGCAAGCATTAGTTGCAAAAGCCCGTATTTTCAGATGTGTATTCACTGTTTATTTGTGTGCTAAACCAGTTCCGCTGCCCAAGGTTTGCTAGCAAGGTTGGTGCTAAGAAAAGCACAAGCAATATACAATATATACATATGTGAGTGTACATATAAAATATATATAAATACACCTATCTAACATACACTGTATAAACTAAGAATCAACCGACTGATATTAGCAAAAAGCACTTGCACCGCACCCACATAAGATTGATAATGTCATTGGCCCTTTGGGGCTACCATTCTGGGGTTGACACTCTTTATCCTGGCCCGGCCTAAGCACGTCTCTTCTAAGGTTTGATTGCGCATTCTTCTTCATGGTTCGCATGGTGGAATCGTTCTTCTTAGTAGAGTTTGAAGATGTTTTGCAGGAGACAGTTCCTGTAGCATCTGGGCCCGAAATGTCGCAGTCGAAGCTAGTTCCAGTTGTTCGCAGGCCTGCACTGAGCCTGCAGGCCTGTTTGGAATATGTGGATGAGGTTAGAAGGGAGCACCCTGCCCCTCTTTACGATATGGTGGAGGTGTTTGGCGCTGGCTCGATGGCCCACGGCTGCAGGCGCTTTGAGCTGCGATCGGCAGCTCTGGATGTTCGAATCTTTGATCCAAGTAGTTTGTTTATGCGTGAGGTAACATAAAAATAAACGTCGAACCAACCAGCTTTAATGTTGAACCAACCAGCTTTAACAAAGACCAGGACTTGGGGATGATAACAACATCCACTTGGAGAAAGGGCTGAGAAAGGCTTTGAAGAATTTGGCCCTGTGTGGCGGGTGTGCTGTGTTGATGCCCACGTGCGGAAGTTGGGTGTGGCTGAGCAGGGGAAGCACGCTTAGAGGGCTTGTTGCCTGTCCATGCAAAGTAATGGTTACTAGGTGTTTGCTGGATTTTGAGTGAATTAGTGTTTTTTGAGATGTTTTGAGTGCAGTTTATTGAGAGGTGTTGAGACGTTTTGGGGGAATTTTAGAGAATTTGCTTAGTTTGGGCAATGCTGTCAATCAATGCGATCCATACGCTCACAGCCTAGGTGCTGACGGGGTATGGCCATTGCAAGAGCGTTGTCACTGGAAACGCGCAAGCTGAAGTGGTAGCTTTGCTCCTGGAGGTGTGCGCGCACTTGGGCTTGCAGTGGCTCATTGAGCAACCGCCGAGTTCTTTGCTGTTCCAGTGGCCCTCGTTGCTTCGCTTTTTTTATGGATGGAAATGTCTTCAGCATCCACATTGACTTGGCGCACTTTGGGTGTGTTTGCTCAAAGCCCCTCCTTTTGAGGGGTACGTGGGATGCTCTTCCGTTCATCAAGTGTTTAGAAGCAGCTTTGGAGCCCTATGTTCCCCCGAGAGAGGAGAAGCCCAAGGGATCCAAGCCCAGTGGAAGGCCCATGTTAACACTAATATAATGTACTATTTATATACTTTAGATATTGTATTTGATCAAGTTGTAATGTTGAATCCCGTATCCTGTGTTTGGGTTTCAAGCCCAAAGACATTGTGGGAGTATTGAATTTCTGGGCAGGTGGGTGACTGCAAGCCAGTACACATCATACAGTGCCATCTATCCCAAAGCCTTTTCATCAGCGTTTGCCTGCGCGATGATGATGCACCGAGACCATCTGACAGATGCTGATACCATTTCACGGGTGGCCACTGATTATGCCAAGATGTTTTTTGACGAGATTCCTTCCATTGAAGTGGCCAAAGCGGAAGCAAATGCAGCTATTGAATCCAATTCTTTTTGTTTGCAGGCTTTTGTCTTGTGGTTTGATGAACTTGTTTACCCCTTTAGCCTTTAGCCTTCAAACAACAATCCCTATGCCATCGAGTAAAGAATCTGTAAAACTGTGCGCCAATGTACGTTTCATTCTAGTTTGTTTGGTGTTGAGTTGGACCCAAGGAAAAGCTGAAACAACAGGGGCTCAAATCCTTTGACGAAGACCCGGGATGGCCTGATATTGACCAGCAGCTTGCGCCCAAGATTCCCAGAGAGGAGCAACGGCTCTTGCTGAAGCAGAACCGCGAGAATAGGCTGAAAGCCAAGGCAAAGCCAAAGGCACTGCCCAAACGCAGTGCCAAGTGCAAGGCTAAGGCGAGAGCATACAGCGCATACAGACCTTCAAGTTCGCTGAAGAAATTCTTTCCGTCCAGGAGAGGGGCGATTGACACAACCTTTTGACGTGACAGAAGCGACGCGTGACATGATGTCTAATTTTGAGTTATTGGTCTGTTCATCGTTCACAAAGGTTGCTGGCAAGTGAGGTGAGCCAGAACTTGACATAGCTTGTCCACTTCAATTCTGTGGTCTTTGCGGGTCATGTCAGGAATAACACACCTTCTACCTGGAGGGCCATTGATGCGTACCTACATCATCCGGAGTCCTCTTCCTCCTCGGTCTTCCAGGCAGGCGAAGTCCAAGTGAATCGACTACGTAAAAGTCCGGTGAGAAAACCTTTTTGCTGAGCTTGTGCGGCCCCGCTTACTGACTGAACAGCAAGGGATGAGAGAAAGAGCTTTTCCTATCTAATTAGATGGATATTCCTATGAATTGCAATTGTAAAGTGGCTACTGGATTAGTATGCCTGGCCCTAAAACACAAGCCCTTTGCCTGGACTTGCGCAGGGGCTGAGCGCAGGCCACTTGGTCATTGACCTGGTGGAGGACAAACAGTCAGTTGAAATTCTCGGGTGATCTGTTGAAGAGGCATTTGTTGGTGCATTGCTTTTGGAAGCAACGGGAAAACATACTATGTATACTATATAATATAGATTCTATTGATACTATGGTTTTGCAGGAGTATTACAAATTTGTTTGCTTCAAGCTATCCCCACCCCAAAGGCCCACTGGATCTCGGGCGTGTTTGTGATTGCATCACTGGTGGGATATCTGGGACCACTGGGTCAGCCCCTGTCACAAATCCACAGGAAGGACACATTGGACAAAGGCTTACTAAAAGCTAGCTGAGCCTAGCTACTTTGAGTCAGTCTTGGGGCAAATCTCGTTTTGCACTTGATTGTCGAACTTCGTTAAACTGGTAGGACAGCTGAGCTCTGCCTGGCATTTGGACGGATACGCTACGCTTTTGGAGCCTTGTTACGGGCGGATGTGGATATTTGGTGGCTGACCTTTCCCGATTGATCGTTCGACTAGTATTTCTGGCGATAATCAGGTGACAACCAACCCGGCGTTGTCACATTGTTGGGGCGTCCAGGTGCAAATGCCACACGAATATTGTTACGTTATGTTTGAAACAGCATGGAGGTGCCAAAACAAATCAAAATGTTGGTAAATCCACTGGCGGCTTCAGCAAAACAAAAGACTTCAGCAAAACAAATGAGAACGCTTAGTCCAGTGGGCGCAGCACTACCAGGACGAAAGAAGCGGCGATCCTAGGGGTCCAGTCATGGGCCTGGCAGTGGTTCAATAGCCTTTCAGAAATTCAAAGAAAGGCAATAACCGAGTCTGACTGTGTGGTTCAGGCGCAGGTTGAGCGATCCGCAAAGCGGGTCAAATTGAACAAGTGAAAGCGTTGTTGTAGCAGTGTTGATGCCCACGATGGCGAGTTGGGGCTTCTTCATGGCCTTTGATTTGTGCCATGAATGATTTGGGGTACAGGTTGCGAATGCAATCCAATAGCAAACTCACGAGATCAAGTTTGAGCGAGAAAATGGACAAGCGAGGTTTGCAGTTGGTGTTGCTGCCTTTTTTTGGGGTGAGAAAATAAAGAATCCTACTCGGTTTCATGAATCAAAACAACGCAGGAAGTGCAAGCTCTCAATGGGCTTGAATTGATTCAGTCAACTTAGGAAACAAATCTGTAGATTTTACATCAATAATTTCAAAGAATTGAGCGAGCTCCTCGGAATGGGGAACTTTGGATTAGATCTCTTGTGAACTCATCAAATTCAACCTCCGTTAGCGGCAAGAAGTCTAAACTCCAAACATTCAAATTAACAAAAAGCACTAGATCACGGCCAATGAAGTCAATTCAATCTCATTTGTTAAGTCAGTGAGTTTGAGCTTCACTTTCCAATGCCAGTCTGATAGTCTAACATGATAGCGTCGGTCCAAGACATGCACTTGGAGACGGGCCTCCATGTCCAGAAACCAGATGCTACATTCCAAGTATGGCTGAAAGAGACATCTGCCCTCCTGCTGACCAATCAGCTTTCCACTTTCAGTTGCAGTGGTGATTTGTCCACATACATACATCCTACACTGCCCCAGCACGTAGCGCTAGAAGACCATAGGAGGTAATGTGTCTGCTGAGCATTGGCTGAACATGTCTTCTCAACATAGGCTTGACAAGCACAAATGGCTCAACAGGACACTGGACGCTCGTGGGATGTCTCGACCAATAGTGCTGCATAATTTTGTGGCAACATTTTACTCCAAAGCTCAGTTAATTCAAACGCTTGCCCAATAGACCCTGCAGCAAGACCAGCAGAAATGCTTGAAGAGATTCTGGAGCTGGCCAGGTCCCATATCAAATCATGAATGCCGAATGCGAAAAGTGCAGCCATGCGACTGGATTTGCCGTCTGAGGACTGCATGGCATGGTTCTGTTTAAGTCCCCCTTGAAACAAACAGAAGGCATCAGCTGGCCTCTCAATTGGTTGGCACCTTCTCCTGCAGGCAGCATCATAGAGCGTGATTGAAACGCATAGTAGCATACATCAGCGGCAAAGCCGGGACCGCTTGCAGTCGAACTTCCCTTAGGATGTACTCTGCTTGTGGTGCTGACTGCCTCTGTGCATCATGTCTATCCGCCTTCTTCACACTTTATGGTGGTGCCTGTTGCAGCTACTAGCAGTGTTCATAGCAGTGCTGTTTGTGGAATTATAAGCTGGACCAAGACTGGATGGCTACCCTGGACCCCCTGTCTCTCTTACCCTCTTTTGTTTCTCTCTCTCTCTCTCTCTCTCGCTGTGCCACTCTCTGCCAATCTACGTTAG